GTAAAATATATAATATATAATATATAATATATGTATATGTGTGTGTAGGGTAAAATCTTCTTGTTAATTTTTTTAAATTTTATTTTATTTATTCAAATTTAGTAGACACATTTTTAAACTTATAGTGAATATTTTGAAGAATGTAAAATGCGAGGAACATCACTCGGATTTTACCGAATAACAGTCTTCCTTTCCTTCCTGTCATAAAATCATTAACGGGCAGGTACGTGTATACGCACTTTTAATTACACTAGTTTTGTGATTGTTAGTCAGACATTTACGAGCAATCCTTTGCGCCTTTTAACGATCCCATATTTTTCTTGCGGTCTTTATTTTTTTCTCCATTACTTGTTTGTTAAATCATTGTTATTCTTTCCTTAATTCAACCGAGACTTTAAACAAACAAATATCTTTTTTATACTGTTATTATATATATTTTTTGCGTAATAGAACAGGACATCGAATTTTCCGTGCATTTTAATTGATTCAAAAATAAAATCCATATCGTTATTCTCATTATAAATCGAATTGTTCTTTTATGAAATACCAGTCTATTTTATCATTATCGTCGTTAAAGCAATCTACGCAAATTAGTTTATTAATTATGTAAAGAAACAACATGAATGTAGGTGCTAAAAGACACTGGAAAGTATCGTGAAAAACGTCGGACTACATTCCTTAGAATTAATCGACGGGTATGCTGCACTTGCATGTAAAGCCACATAATTTCCTTCGTGGAAACAAATTATCTTACTGCATTACCACCTTATTTTGCAATCCTTGAGAACAAAGGAAAAACGAAATTAATTTAATCAATTCTGTTTTGTATAAAATAATAATGTAATTTGATACAAATTAACAGAATTTATAACAGAATTTTAGAAAGATATTTATGATAATAATAGATTTGATAATTGTCTATATGTTTTTATTGAAAATAATAATTTGGTAAATATGAGAAAAAAATCCATTTTTTTCTATTCTTTCGATATCTTAGAATTAGTTCTAATTTAATTTCTTACTTGTGTCAATGTAAATATATCAATATGAAGCTTAATGTAGAAAAAGAAATCATTTTTGGAATAAAATATACACGTACATAACACATATACAGTTACTTAGGTAGTTATTTAGTATTAAATGTCTGATAAAAGCATTCCACAAATGATAATTACACGAAATATATAATCACGTTTCAGCGGAATATTAACTGTGTATATATGATATGTATATATTATGTATATTATACGATGCATATGTATATTATATGATATTGTTTCTAATTAGCTTATCTAATTAACTTATTACATGAATAATTTGGTCTATAAGATGTTCAAAAATGACATTCTATTAAGTTCCACATCAATTATTTTCACAGAAAAAGATTTGATTGATATTTTTTTTCACAGATAGTTTTAATTTAAAATTAAAAATTTAAAATACACAATTATTTTAAAAAATATTCTTTCTCTTGAACTTTTATCATTCATAATTGCATCTCTGACACATCTTGGATACTTGCAAATAACTGAAAAATATATATAAAAATATATATAATTAATTCTGGCAAGGCTGTATTATTTTGCTCATACTTCTTGCCTTAAGCAATATTTGCTTTTTTTTTGCTACGAGATGAAGTCGAGTTTTAGCAAGTGAAACCGCGGTTTTTACGACGAACATTAATTAAATTAACGGGATCATTAATTGTGGCCTCTCGGGTTGCTCAAGGATTTCGTATCTCCGTAAATTCGTGCGAACTGCCCCGAAGGACGACTTTGCGGCAAACTTCGCGTCTTTATGAAGTGATTAGATGGCTGCAAGAAATAAACTTACAGTTGGGTTCTCATAAACACAACTATGACTTTATATTAATTATAACGCTAAAAGCTAATCTTTGAACATAAAGCTAAAAGTTACCTTTATGTTCATATTTAGGCAGCAAATATATATATATATATGAGAGAGAGAGAGAGAGAGAGAGAGAGAGTGTGTGTGTGTGTGTGTGTGTGTAGTAAACGTTAAAAC